GTATCAAGTGGCACTGGCTGCGTAAGGAGGTGAAGAGGGGGACGGTGAATCCGATCTACATCAAGACTCACCAGCAGCCAGCAGACTTCCTCACCAAGAGGCTTGCGGATGAACCTCATTGGCGTTGTGTGCGCATGAGTGGAATGAGCATGAACTAGCATGGAATGATGGAAATGCAGCCGGCAGGCTGAGGGGGAGTGTGTTGGGCGCAAATTCACATTGCACGACATCCTGCCGTCTGTTTGTACGAGTATGCGTGTGCGAATGCATTTGCGTGTGAATGGTATGTTCGTGTGTTTGTTTGCTTTCGCAATTTTGGCTTGAAGCATTTGCAGGTACTCGCACAATGTGCGCTTCGGCACAACATTGTACGCGCTATAAACAGTACAAGCAGAAAGGACGAGCTCGCAAAGGAACCCAAGATGGAAGCTTTGCGGTTCGGTTGAATTGATTGTGCAGATTCAGTTCTATCCAACTCGAAATTGTACTGTTTTGCTTGGTTGACTATAGTGTAGCAGGGCAGGCGCTATAGGGGTAAAATTTAGGTAAAGGTTGGATGTTGTTTGTCTGTATCTGCATGCTACAGGGCCAGGGGAAACCAGCGGAACCAGCATTTGGCTGGTTGGGCAAAGACGAATCAGGTTCTGTTTTTAGGACCTGAACCTGGTTGTTGTTTTCCCAGGTTGGAAAAACAGAACCAGAGGTTGTTTACCAACCTACCACCTGCTGTTTTGTCCAGCCAGGTTGGTTCTGTTGCTTGGAATTATTTGGGATGATCCCTGGTTGTTCCCAGGTTTATTCCCAAGGTCCTTGCTAGCTAGAACTATTTATTCCTTCTCTGTTTGTACCTGAATATAGTCAATTTGATTCAAGCGAATTCCTCCCTTCCTGGAATTTCGTTTCTACGCGGTGCGACGGCGGAATGCTACCCGAGTCAACGCTAGTACGCTAGCACTCCAACGCTAGGCAAACGCTGTCCGAGCCATAACTTCGTAATGGCAGAACTTTTCGCGAGGCAACTTGGTTCATTTTAAAGCTCTTGGAGAGAGCTTCGATATAGGAAATTCTCAGCTTAATCCGATCGACGGTCTGCACGATACGCTGCGCGACATTCGAGGTACTCTTGCTGTTTTGACTAAGTCCCTCTTGATCCCTCTCTCTACAAACTCGGACCCGAGGATAGGGGCTGGTCTTGTACCAGGCACCCAAGGACCCTTGGAGGTGACCCCGAGGAGAGGTTTTAAGTTTGATAAAGTCTTAATAGCTTGAGTTTATTAGGCCCTTACACTAACAGCACGCCTGTCACCACACCAGCCATGCAAAAGGGCATGGCACCTACTGCTACACGTCGTTGTCACCGACGCCCACATCGGCCAGGCGCACTTGGCCGATTGCAACGGAGCACCGGTTGAAGGCCGGGTAGTGCAGCGCCTTCGTCAGGAAGTCGGCCAGCTGCTCAGCGGTCGGGATGTACTTCAGCGAAAACTTCCCGCGCTTCACCATGTGCTGCAGCCAAGCATGTCGCCATTCCATGTGCTTGAGGTTGCCCGTCAACCCCATGCCCTCGCCGACCATGATGGCCGACTTGTTGTCCACCCTGAGGACAGTCGGCTTTCCGGCGTCCAGCCGCTGGAACTCCGCGAGGAGGAAGCGAAGGCGACGTCCCTCCTTGCCGGCTTCGACGGTCGCCACGTACTCCGACTCGGTCGACGACAGCGTCGCGCACTTGATGCGCTGGCTCGACCAGGAGACCGCGGCCCCTCCGTAGACGAACACGTAGCCGCCCGTGCTCATCCGGTTCTGCTTGTCACTGTCGTCGTCGGTGTCCACGTAGCCGATCAACTCCAGTGACTCCGGACCACCGCCGAACTCCAGGGCGGTGTCTCGCGTGTTGGCGAGGTAGGCGAGGCAGCGGTCGACCTCGCGCCAGTGCTGGTCGCTCCTCACCGTGAGGCCGCTCCCCAGCTTGCTGCACGCGAATGCGATGTCCGGCCTTGTCATCGTCGCCGCGAACTGCAGCGAGCCGACCTTCTGCCTGTACTACTCCTCCTCGCGCTCCTGCGCCTCCTTGTCGTCGAATGTCTGCTCCGCGTAGGCGGCGACGGAGACCGGCGTCTTCGGGGTGCGCGCGGTCTGCTCCTCGTCGATGAAGCGCCCGCGCAGCTTGTCGGCGTAGCCTTGCTGGTGCAGCCACAATTTTCGCGCTGGCCTGTCGCGCACGATCTCCAGGCCAAGATACTTCTGCACCGGTGAAATTTCGCGCAGCTCGAAAGCGGCCCCCAGCAGCTCCTTCAGGTCCTTCAGCATCGCGGTGCTGCTGCTCGCGGCGAGAAGGTCGTCGACGTAGACCAGCACCCAGCAGGTCACCTTGTCGCCGGCCTTGAAGTACAGAGCCTCATCAACTTGGCTCTTCTTCCACCCGGCGCCAACCAACACGTCATTGAGAGCCGTGTACCACATCAGTGGTGACTGCTTTAGCCCATAGAGGCTCTTCAGCAGCTTGCACACCCGGCCGGTCGCGTCGTTGAAGTAGTCCGGCTGGTACATGTACAGCACGCGGTCGAGCTTGCTCTGCAAAAAGGCGTTCTTTATGTCCAGCTGCATCAGGTTGAGGTCGAGGACAGCGACGATGCTGAGGAAAATCCTCAGCGTGACGTAGCTGCTCACCGGCGCGTATGTCTCGTCGTAGTCAGCACCATACACCTGCGTGAAGCCTTTCACGACCAGCCTCGCCTTTTCGCGCTCGACATTGTCGTCGATGCGGTACTTCGTTGTCAGCACCCACCGGTTGTTCATTATGTTCACCCCCGGCGGGCGTTCGACAAGCTCCCAAGTGCCCATGTTGATGAGGCTACGAATCTCCTCCTCCATGGCGGCCTTCACCACCAGGCCCTTCCAGCTCGCCAATGCCTCCTTCACCGTCATGGTCGAAATGTCCCAACGGTGCTCGGGATCGGCGTGCATGTCGGGGTCGAGCTCCGAAAACGAATCATCGTGCTCGGCGTCATCGTACGCCAGGTCGTCGTCGTCCACATCGTACACGCAGTGAGGGCAGCGGGAACAAAGAAGTCGGGTGACCTCCATCACGTCGCTCGATGTCCCTTCATCGAACTGCTCCCCTGTCGTCCGCTCCTCTGAAACGCTCTTCCCGTTCGACGGCTCCCCTATCGACGACTTCTCTGAAACACGCTTCCCGTTCGAAAGCTCCTCTGCCAACTGCTCCGCGGTCGGCTTCGTTGCTGCCTGACGAGGAACTGTGCATGCAGCCCCACACCCGCGCCATCGACAAGTCGGGCTTCTGGCCGGTGAGGAGCTGGTACGGCGTCGTCCGCGCGGGCAGCGAAGACCGCTCCAGGCAGTTGCGAACCCAGACGGCCTGCCGCGGAGCGAGATGCCACCAGTGGTGCTGCACGCCCATGTGCAGTAGCATCGTCCGCACCGACTCCATCACCGTCCTCATCTCCCGCTCCGCCATGCCATTCTGTTGCGGGGTGTAACGGCAGGACAAGTCGTGGACGATTTCCTTGCTGTCCACGAAGGCGGTGAAGTCCTTCCCGAGGAACTCCCCTCCGCGGTCAAAATGCAGTTGCAGCACCGAATGCTTCGCCTGCCGCTCCTCCAGCTCCAGCCTCTTCTGGAACCCCAGCAGCACGTCTGACTTCTTGGCGACCGGCCTCACCCATACATAGCGGGTCTTGCGATCCTTCAGGAGCAAGAAGTACAGGCTGCTGTCCTTGGCAGCCACGCGAAATGGCCCACACAAATCGATGTGCACTTCGGCGAGGACAGCCGCTTCAGCAGGTTATAGCTACTCGGGAGTCCCTGCATGACGTATGTGACGTACGACGACGTTGAGTACTCCGCGCTGTTGGTGTAAGGGCCTAATAAACTCAAGCTATTAAGACTTTATCACACTTAAAAACCTCTCCTCGGGGTCACCTCCAAGGGTCCTTGGGTGCCTGGTAGAAGACCAGCCCCTATCCTCGGGTCCGAGTTTGTAGAGAGAGGGATCAAGAGGGACTTAGTCAAAACAGCAAGAGTACCTTGAACGTCGCGCAGCGTATCGTGCAGACCGTCGATCGGATTAAGCTGAGAATTTCCTATATCGAAGCTCACTCTAAGAGCTTTAAAATAAGCCAAGTTTCCTCGCGAAAAGTTCTGCCATTACGAAGTTATGGCTCGGACAGCGTTAGCCTAGCGTTGGAGTGCTAGCGTACTAGCGTTGACTCGGGTAGCATTCCGCCGTCGCACCGCGTAGAATGGAAATTCCAGCAAGGAAGGAATTCGCTTGAATCAATTTCACTATATTCAGGTACAAACAGAAGGAATAAATAGCTCTAGCTAGCAAGGACCTTGGGAATCAACCTGGGAACAACCAGGGATGATCCCAAATAATTCCAAGCAACAGAACCAACCTGGCTGGACAAAATAGCAGGTGGTAGGTTGGTGAACAACCTCTGGTTCTGTTTTTCCAACCTGGGAAAACAACAACCAGGTTCAGGTCCTAAAAACAGAACCTGTTTTGTCTTTGCCCAACCAGCCAAATGCTGGTTCCGCTGGTTTCCCCTGGCCCTGTAGCATGCAGATACAGACAAACAACATCCAACCTTCACCTAAATTGTACCCCTATAGTGCCTGCCCTGCTACACTATAGTCAACCAAACAAAACAGTACAATTTCGAGTTGGATAGAACTGAATCTGCGCAATCAAGTAAGCCGAACCACAAAGCTTCCATCTTGGGTTCCTTTGCGAGCTCGTCCTTTCTGCTTGTACTGTTCATAGCGCGTACAATGTTATGCCGAAGCGCACATTGTGCAAGTACCTGCAAATGCTTCAAGCGAAAATTGCGAAAGCAAACAAACACACGAACATACCATTCACACGCAAATGCATTCGCACACGCATACTCATACAAACAGACGGCAGGATGTCGTGCAATGTGAATTTGCACCCAACACACTCCCCCTCAGCCTGCCGGCTGCATCCCCATCATTCCATACTAGTTCATGCTCATTCCACTCATGCGCACACAACGCCAATGAGGCTCATCCGCAAGCCTCTTGGTGAGGAAGTCTGCTGGCTGCTGGTGAGTCTTGATGTAGATCGGATTCACCGTCCCCCTCTTCACCTCCTTACGCAGCCAGTGCCACTTGATACGCATGTGCTTATTGAGCCCATGAAGCACAGCGTTCCTGGCCATCCCAAGAGCTCCCTTGCTATCACAAAACAGCGGCGTAGCAACCTTTTGCTCCTGGCCAATCTCCTCCAACAGCCTCCTTAGCCAAATCACCTCCTTCACCCCATGAAACATTGCCATGTACCCTGACTCCACGGAAGAGAGTGCTGTCTCCGTCTGCTTCTTTGACCTCCAACTAACCGGTCCTCCCCCAACTACGCAGATGTATCTTCCCACAGATGAGGAATCCTCCTTCTCAGAGGCCCACGTAGCATCAGTAAAGCAAGTGAGAAAAAGCTTGCCTTCTCCAAGCCTCTCCCCCTTCTCTTTCAGCACCTCAACCCCTTTCTGCTTCACCTGTGCAGATGCGGAGTATTGAACTCCAATGCTTGGGTGAGAGTTCAGATACTTCACCACACGCTCAGCTGCATCCACCTGCTCCTCTGATGGATTCTGCACCACCCTAGCCAGCTGCCCAACCGAGAAAGAGATGTCGGGCCTCGTGTGAACTGCTGCATACAAGAGGCTGCCCACCAAGGACTGAAATTGCTGCTACTCCTCGGCTTCAACCCCTTCATCCTCTGCAGCTTTCACAAGCTTGAATTCTGCTGGCAGGGGAGTTGCAACCTTGCGCTCATTCTCAATCCCGTACTTCTCCCCAAGCTCCTTGATGAACTTCTCCTGGTGCAGCTTCAACCACCTGTGATCCAGATCCCTCTCCACGTGCATCCCGAGGTAGTACTTTACCTCCCCAAGGTTCTTGCACTTGAAGTTCTCCATCAGCTGCTGCTGCACCTTCTGGATCTCCTTCATGCTGCTGCTAAAGAGAAGAATGTCGTCCACATAGACCAGAAACAGCACCAGCTTCTCCCCCTCCCCCTTGAGAAAGAGGCTCTCATCACAGCTGCTGGTCCTGAATCCCATCTCCTCTAAAACAGCTGCCAACTTCTGGTACCAGCAGCGTGGCGCCTGCTTCAAGCCGTAGATGGACTTTTTCAGCTTGCACACCCTGCCCGTACCATCCTCATACCCAGGTGGCTGCGTCATGA